AGCTTATTACTGTCGAGATACTACATTTTTACGATATTGTTAAGCAGCATCCCATGGTTCCTCTTAGAAACGCCAGCAAAACTAAGTTTTGAATTTCGACTTCAAATTTGGCACAGAAACAGACCTCAATGAGAGTAGCTTATTGTGAAAGTTTCAGATCTTTTCGTTGTTCCTATTCTGAAATAAGAACATTGGAACCTGTCGGGGATATATGAGCAGTGTAAAAACACCCTTTGTAGCTGTATCTTAGGATAGGAATGACCAAAAGACCCGAAACTTCCACAATAAACTACTCTCACTGACGTCTGTTTCTGTGCAAAGTTTGAAGTCAAAACTCAAAATTTAGTTTTTCTGGTTCCTGAGGGGGACCACGGCATTGTGCTTAATTAAAAAAAATACCATAAAAATGCAGTATCTCGACAGTAATAAGCTAGCAACTCGAACTCTTTTCAGGGTATTCATAGCTCATTAGGACCCACATGACGCACATAGTTTCGACTCAAAAGCGATTGAACAGTTGGGAACTTTCCTCGTAAGTGCTATTAATTCAATATTCAATATGAGACGTCAGTCAATAATATGACCCTGTTACGTTTTCATCAGACTTAAAATGTTATTGAATCAAATACAATACTTCATTACATGTAAAGAATAAAAAGAAAATTTTCTCACAAAAATATATACAAATGTTGAATGTCAACAACAATGTATAAGCATATCGTTTAGAAGCCAGTCTCTATCCTCATGTGATATCGATCAAATAAAATCTATTTATTATTGTTTAAACAATTGTCTAAAAACTATCTGAATAATGGCTCTTTAAAATAAAATGCTTTTCAGCAGAATTATCTATTATCAGACAATCAATGACTTCAATATATTTTTTATAGAAGATTGATAAACTTTCTATGATTATAAAAAAAAGAGCAGGTTAAAGTAGCAGATCATTTATATTTTGAATAACAAAAAGATGTGATGACTTCAAAATAGGATACTCTGGATTATTGCTTCAATACTTGATAAGGTAATAGAAGTTCAAAATATGAGATTCTTAATTATTGATGCAGTACTTGATATAGATTCAACGGCAGATTACTTTCGGGGTATCTCGACTTGCTTCCCAGACTGTTGTTGAGATCTTTGCTCCGCTTCTTGCTTTATTATAGCTTGTTGAATACGCGGTGGTAGGCTAGGATTGAGACTCAAAGCATACGGCAATAAGCTTTTCTGTATTTCTTCAAAATCAACTATAATTTCGATGAACATTGTGTCGTCTCGGACATATGAATTTCCTTCCTGTCTAATCATATCCAATGGGAAAAAATTAGGTATTCCACTGGGCTATATTCATATCCGATCGAGGTCGTTGAAAACTATTCGATCTTATGTCTGGTTGAAATGAATCGATAATATGTCGTTGTGCAGGTGTTTGATCGTATAAACAAACTGAGACTTTGTAGTTGAATCATCACCATTTAAATAAAGACGAGCTCTCATTTTATAGCTAGTAGGTGATGAATAGAATGGAAGTGAATATAAATTGATGTTTGCCTTTCAGATTGTGCATCAACTAGAAATTAAGCTTAAACCATTGTCAGTGCAGTCTCTTTGAAGCAAAATATGGGAAACTCACATCTTTTTTTTCAGCTTCATTATACTAATGTCAAATAGGTCAAGTAAATCTTGAATATAATCGGAAATCTGCATAAAAATTAAAAAAATTGCACGATCTAGAATACTCAGAAAAGTATTGACACCATTACAATTTCAAGTAAAATTTTGAAATATTCTCGAACAATCTAAGTCGTATTGTTAATGCCAATCAATATCTTTTTTTTCTTACTAAGAAATTATAGGAAAGAAGTCTGCTGTCTTGGATTGCTTTGTAAACGTACCCACTAATCATAATTTCGGTTGCTAAAGTCTATTGCGAGCACCTTTGCCAGCATTGCTATGACTGTCAGAAGCGTTAAAAACATCGATCAATACTCTCATTGTCACCCATTGATTCGGGTTACTACTTTGGGAATCGGATGTTCGAGCGAAAAACCTTGCCTTACAACTTACACTCACTATTTTCCTTAGTAAAATATGTGAGTTCCACAAAAAATTGGGTGAAGAAGAGTAGCTGCAAGTATAAAGAAATTTAGCCGATCGATAGAATTGATAATTGCTTCCATCAATTCATCAATAGCTCACTCATACATTGTATTCATGCGTGACAATATACTATGTTGAATGTAACGTTGAATCGTTTATGTGTTATTCAATAATGTTATAGAAAACGAAGAACATCTTTTTCTTTGATTATCTTGTCGATAGCATATTTTGATTTCTATCTTCAAGCATAAGACTAACTGTTCAAGTTAGTTATTTTCTCATGAAAATTTTTTATTTTCCAAACCAATGTTTCACCATATGAAACATATTGCAAATCATTGATTTTTTCTTGCAAGGATACAAAGTCTTGATTCTGTTTCACTCCCTGCAAAAATGCATTTGATTCTTCAACAGATTATTTTAATTTCGATGATTCTTCTTTCAATATTGTAAGTGTAATTTACATTTGGAGTGATTCATTACTTAGACGTTGCTCATTATTAGCCAGTGCTTCGATGCCACCTGCCAAGATATTCAACATTTCATGAACTTCTTCGAATTGAGCTGTAGCAGGAATACAAGCTTCTGCAGTTGTTGTTCGAGGAAGATCAATATTCATTTGTCTATCATTGAATTGTGATGAAATTTGACGAATAAGTTTAAATATGGCCTGTTGATGCTGTTCAATCAAATAATGATTCTCCTTTTTGGTACGAATAAACTTAAGAACACGAACTTTTCAATGTTAAATGCATCTAAAAAATACTCATACTCGTTCATTACTGTCAAGGC